TTTATTCTTTTCTAAGAATCTGCCAGTGGATGCTGCCGCTGTACTTTTCTGATGCTGAAACACATGGATCAGGCATTTCTTCATCCACTGCTTTTCAGGAGGGAATATCATATTGATGAGCCCAGTTCAAGCTGTGACTGAAGGGGGAGCCGTTACTCTGGTCTGCAGACTGAGGCATGGGGCGTTTGACTGGAACGTGCTTGTGGAGTGGGCGTGGCGCTCAGCTGCGGGGGGGGTGGGGGGGGTGGGGGTGGAAGAGGCTCAGGTGAGCAGTGCCAGGGGAGGTGATTGAGCAGAACCAGTTGGCTAATCACTCTCCCCTCTGTAAAAGAGTAGCGTGCTGGACCTGGGGAGGACATGGTTAGGAGAGAGCTGGAGCAGGACACCAGCCACCACAGCGCTCTTCTGCCGGAATGATGAACTCATCCAGAATCACAGCAAATGGGAGCTGAAAATAGCTGCCGTGTCAGCGTCAGATGAGGGCTTCTACAAGTGTGAGACCTCAGGGAAAGTGTCCGCGTCGAGCTGGATGTCTGTAAAATGTGAGTTTTTCTGAAGTGGACATGATTTCTAGTCTTAAGTCTTTCTAAGTGTTGAAAGCTTCATGCAGTTTCTTTTTCACTACTGCTCACATGAAAACAAACTTTCAGAAAAGGGCTGCAGTCCTAACATTTAGGATTGTTTTTTTTATTCATCACAGCAGGACCGAAGCATGGAAACTCAGCTTTTCCCACTTGGCTAATCTTTGGATTGGTGGTTTCACTGACCAGTGGACTGTTGATTCTGCTGCTGTGCTGTTATTGCGGCCATTCAGAAGGTGAGACCTTCACCGTCCAACGTGGACCGCTGCGTACCGTCCAAAGTCATCTGGGAAGTGCAGGTCAGTGGTGGAAATTCTGTTTTCCCCTTCCTGCATGTCAGACTAACACACACCAGCATGAGTGTTTCAATCCTGATGTAAAAGGCTCTTCATGTAACAGGTTGTGTGTTTTATTGTCTATTTACATGAACCTATGTTTTATTTTGTTTCAGACGAAAACCTGCTGTATGCTCAGATTCATTTCAAAGGCAAAAATAAACCCACCGATGATAAAGGTATTAAAAACGTTCAATTTGAAAGCTGTTATGATCTCTTTTTTAATCTTTTTTAACCTCTCAACCTCACAGAAAACACCTCCCCTGACGTGGCTGCCACCATTTATTCTGAAATCAAACTATAGGAGACTGTCATTTAATGTGGGCATTGAAGCTCATTTGTAGCTTAAGATGTTTTTTCCATATACATGCAGATTCAATTCAACAAAAAGAATTAAAGTATATTGTATTGCTCTGCTGGTCCTGGTTTTTCTCTAAAATTCTTTGTTTTTTTTGGTCTAGGTTATATGATTTCTTTAGCTTTTGTCACTGGATATCCAGCCAGGATGTGAATTAGTTAAATTATGTGATACATTTAAATTGACTAGCTCATAACTTTCAATCACATACATCTCCTCCCCATCCCTCATCAACACTTCCTTCGATGATGCATGTAAGAACTGTCACATACAACCAAATTCTGTTGTTTCTGCTTACGGC